GCTTCCATCAAGATTGTTACACGAGATGCTACCGACAACAAGGTCGAATCCGCCAAATCTACTCATCAATTTCTCCAACCGATCATCATTCAGTTCTTGTACATCTGTTTTCAAAGATATGCTAAGACAGTAGAAGGCGACCTCTGCAGCACTGATTCCAGTAAAAAGAAACAGGACATTGATATCACTGAGGAACATATCTCTAGTAGATCCTCCTCCTCGTGTATGGGTTTTAATGAAACCTAGAAGCATATCTGCCTCATCAGGTTCAAGTGGAGCAACTTTATTCCTTCCAACCCATACTAGATTCCATTTTCAGCACTCATCAAGAACATACTTCTGGACACTCGAATGTGGCTCATTGTCATAAGCTTTAAGAGCCTTACAGATCCTTTCTGTCAGTTTGGCACTTCCTGCACATGTTTATAAACAGTTCAACTTTGTTCTTGGATCCCAGGAAGGCCATCATTTCTTTGTCAATGGAAAAGCATCAGTACATGGAGGAAGCAGAATAAGAGAAAATCTGTTCTTAATTGGCAGAATTATGAATATAGCCCTTTTTAGTGTAGTAGCATGAAAATGCTTCGAATCTATAAATTTTGGCTCTACATCGAATAAGTACTGTGATATCTCAGTCCAAACATTAACTGGAACAAATGCAATGTGCTCATAGCATCTTCTGGAAGTGTTCTTTGAGTTATCTGATCTGGTTTGGTAAAACCAATCATTGAATTTGAAAGATGAATGTGCTCATAGCATCTTCTGGAAGTGTTCTTTGAGTTATCTGATTGGGTTTGGTAAAACCAATCATTGAATTTGAAAGATGAATGTGCTCATAGCATCTTCTGGAAGTGTTCTTTGAGTTATCTGATCTGGTTTGGTATGAACCCTAAAAACCAATCATTAAATTTGAAAGATGAATGTGCTAATAGCATCTTCTGGAAGTGTTCTTTGAGTTATCTGATCTGGTTTGGTATGAAACCACAGAACCAATCATTGGATATTGAAAGATGAATTTGCTCATAGTAGAAATAAGGAGACCCAAGAGCATCTTCTGGAAGTGTTCTTTGAGTTATCTGATCTGGTTTGGTATGAACCACAGAACCAGTTATTGAATTTGAAAGATGAATGTGCTCATAGCAACTTCTGGAAGTGTTCTTTGAGTTATCTGATCTGGTTTGGTATGAACCACAGAACCAGTTATTGAATTTGGAAGAAGAATGTGCTCATAGCATCTTCTGGAAGTGTTCTTTGAGTTATCTGATTTGGTTTGATATAAAACCCAGAACCAATCATTGGAATAAAAAGATGAATTGCATGATCGTCTTCATTAAGAAGTTTCTTTTCAAGTTTCTTTTGCTTATTCCTTTCCCAAAAATCATAGCCCAAGTTTCGCCTTTTCTTGTAATTGGGATCATCACATAATGGCTTCCCATCTTTTACCGGAAGAAATGTGTCAGTAACCTTAGCCATTTGAGCAGCACATATAAAATTTGTCAATTCTGCAATTGATGAATCTGGACCACATCTCTCCAGGGCTATTGAAGCTTCAGCCTCTGAGAATCCCATTTTTGTCAAGTATAACAGTTTATTCTCCTCATCAGAATCAGAATTCAAGATTTCTCGGTATTAAAAGAACTATCGATATATGTGAAATCATCTTGAAAGGTCACTTCATAATCAGATGAGTTGTTATCAGAATCAACATGTTGCATGAATGCAAGTTTTTCAAGAGCCTATACTATTGAGTTTTATTCTCAAGAGGTTTTGTGACATTATATCTACATCTACATTTGTCAAAGATGATAGATTCTCTGATTTGAAGAAGAAAGATCTATTGGGTTTTTACAATTGAAGAAATACACAATTCACCAATCTGAAATCAAATAACTTAACATTCATGCATCATATTTAGGTGTTTGCAAAAATAGGTGCATTTTCATTCATTTTCATCCATGTTGAATTTTTAACAGGAATTTTAAAGATTTTAGCAAAAATTTAAATCCATCATTCAATGGATCAACAGTGTCAGTTAGAGTTCATAATGAGAAGAACTCATCTGAAGAGAGAAGAAGAATTTCATAATAAGAAGAACTTGTTCAACTTTTGCTCAAATCCATCACTTGATGGATCAGCTTTTCCAGTTTGAGTTCATAATGAGAAGAACTCATCTGAAGAAGGAAGAAAAAGTTCATAATGAGAAGAATTTGTTCAACCTTTTGCTCAAATCCATCATTCAATGGATCAGCTTTTCCAGTTCGAGTTCATAATGAGAAGAACTCATCTGAAGAAGGAAGAAGAAGTTCATAATGAGAAGAATTTGTTCAACCTTTTGCTCAAATCCATCACTTGATGGATCAGCTTTTCCAGTTCGAGTTCATAATGAGAAGAACTCATCTGAAGAAGGAAGAAGAAGTTCATAATGAGAAGAATTTGTTCAACCTTTTGCTCAAATCCATCACTTGATGGATCAGCTTTTCCAGTTCGAGTTCATAATGAGAAGAACTCATCTGAAGAAGGAAGAAGAAGTTCATAATGAGAAGAATTTGTTCAACATTTTGCTCAAATCCATCACTTGATGGATCAGATTTTCCAGTTTGAGTTCATAATGAGAAGAACTCATCTGAAGAAGGAAGAAGAAGTTCATAATGAGAAGAACTTGTTTAACCCTTTGTTCAAATTCATCACTTAATGGATCAACCTTCAAAGAGAAAGTTCATAATGAGAAGAACTCATCTGAAGAAGAGAAAGTTCATAATAAGAAGAGCTTATTCAACCTTTTGAATGACTCTATCACAGAAGGAAAGAGGTCAACATCATCCCCAGTGGAAAGTTCATAATGAGAAGAATTCATCTGAAGAAAGAGAAGAATTTATTCAACATCTCCATATTAATCAAGTGAAGTCAAATGAAAAAAACTTATTATCTTTTCGTCTTTGCTCTATTCTTATTAAGAATAAGCAAAGAGGGGCAGCTGAAGATATTCATTTTTTTCATTTAAATGTTATTTATATTATTATAATTATTATTATTATTATAATAATTATTATTATTATTAATATATATTATTTATTAATATTACAAAACCCAAATGGAGGCCCAATTACAAACTTGGTGGCCCAGATCCAGAAGCCCATAATAAACCCTAACAGATTAGGGTTTCCCTCTTCCCCCAGCCGCCTCAGCTTGCTACCGTTGGATCTGGCAAGATCCAACGGTCCAGATGGTTCCAGCAGGAAACCCTAGGGTTATGATACCCTAGGGACTACGCCAGCTGCCGCCGCTCCACGTCGCTCCAGCCACTGCCACGCCCCAACCGAAGGCTCCAGAAGTTCCAACGCCAGCCGTCCACGTTATGGCCCTAGGGTGAGTCACCACTGGGAGTCCGGTGACTCACCGAAGGGTACTCTTTTACCCGGTCCGATGGCCACACCGGTGATGGCTATAAAGCCATCACCCCATCTGCGAAAAAGAGAAAGGAGCCAACAGACCCAGAGACACAAAAAAAAAAACCGAAAGCAAAGATACCCAAAAAGAGACCAACTCACAACAACCAGCAACCAAAAACAAAAGAAAAGGGAGGAGAGAAGCTTACCGAGGAAGCTACGACCACCGGACCTCTTCAAACGTCACCAAAACCTTCGAAAACCGAAGGTATTTTTCTTAGATTTGCTCCGATCGGGAGCCGTTTAAAAGAAAAAACCATCGAAACCGTCATTAGGACGGTCTGATCTATATTTTAGCATAAAAAAAATTTTTCCGGCCACCGAAGACGGTGGCCGGCGAGCGGCTGCCGGCCGGATAGCTTCTCTCTGTTTTAGAGAGAAGCGAGAGAATTTTCTCTCTCTCAGAGAAGAGAGAGAGAGGGAATAGATGAGAAATGAAGCTGGCCTTTCGGGCCAGCCGATTTTGGCTTTCAATAGCACTTCCCGAACGACGTCGTTTCGGGGAGGGCTATTTGTATAATTTTTTAATTATTAAAACCCGTCCGCCATCCCTCAAATTTGTAAACTTTACATTTTAGTCACTAAATCAATTTATAATCCTTTTAATTTGGTTCTTTAATTTTAATTTTATTTATTTTAGTCCTTTATATTAAAATAATATATATAGGGTAAATAACAGATTTAATCCCTTAATTTTAATAATTAATATTTTAATCTTGAGTTTATATTTTTAATTTATTTTAATCTGATATTCGAATTTTAGATAAGTTTATTTTAGTCACTAAATTAATAAATAAGGAAAATAGCATGATTAATCCCTATAATTTTAAATAATTTATTAGGATTAAGTATTTAATTTTAATTTTACTATAATTTAGTCACTAATTTTAAATATTTTCATTTATTTTATTGCTTTTAAATATATCGTTCTAATTGTATTTTTATTGTTTTAATTTTACTTGTTTATATATTTAAATATTTTTATTATTATTATGTAGTCATAAATAAATATAATAAATAATAATTTATATTTTTTCAATAAATTATTTTAATATTTATTTATCAATATCGAAGAAAAGGGCAGTCTTAATACAACTGGATGTCCTATTCTGGTATTTTAAAATTAAATATTATAAAAAATTATTATTTAATTTTATTCAAATTAATATTTATTAATATCAAAGAAAAATTTGTTTAAGACACCTAGAAGTCCTTTTCCGATATTTTTAAATAAATATTTTTTATATAATTTTGAAATAATAGGATTATAAATTAATTATATTTTGAATTTTAAAATTTTTAATAATAGAGACAATTTATAATAAAAAAAGTATCAATTTTGGGCGTTGTAAGGGTGCTAATCCTTCCTTAAACGTAACCACCCACGAATCCCTTTTTATTATTAAAAAGAACGAATTTTTGGTTATAAACGCAGATCAGTTCATTTTTTAATTGATGTTTTCTTAAAACTCTTTTAAAAAATAATTTTTAGGTATTCGACCTACCTGACCCAAAAGACCGATGGCGACTCCCAAATTATTTTCAAAACCATTTATTCACATCAATTTTCCCGCCAAATGAATATTTTGTGCCCGGACGAAAACCGGTTACGACACAAACCATAAAAGAACTTCGATTACAACACTAAACTTCCCAACTTTCAATCTCTCTGATGATGTACCCGATAACGATGCCATTAAGAATTATGTTTCGTTTCCGATGCCATTAGAACGATGATGGGCCTGTCGATGAATATCCAGCAGCTTTCATCTCCTTGAGCGTTCCGGCTAACCAGTCCAAGCCTTCGTAGAGGCCGTCTCCTCTAAGAGCACAAGTACCTTGTATGTGCCATTTTCGGTTCTTCAGGTCAAAAAGACCTAACCCTTCGCATACCTCCATCGGGGTCATTGCTCCTTTCTGGAAAAAGAAATCATATAATCAGATAAAATGGAACAAATATTTTTTCACGAAGAAACTTGGATGTATGAATCAATGTATGAGCAAGCTCAGAAAATATTTATCGAACACTGCTGTATTCGTCTTAGCTATTCAGCCAAAAGATTGTTATGTCAGATTACTCGAAATAGCATGTATTAGTTCTAATAGTTCATCTAGTAGATTCATTCTGCAATGTACATAGAAATACACAGGTCTAAAACAACTGCAGAAAGCATACCATGTCCTGTTTGTTGGCGAACACCAAGATGACACTGTTGAGCATAAACCGGTCGTTGATAATAGTCTGAAACAATACAAATAAAGAAAAAACTAGACAACGTTAATCCTGAATGTCTAACAAGTTTGAGTACATTCAAAATTTACAACCTGAAACTCAAGTTTAGCTTTCCCAATCCTCTCTCGGTCCAAGGAGTCGACAACGTAGATCTGTACAGACATGTATTAGAGAGAGATATGAATGTTCTTACTTTTTCACTCAGTATTGAAGGACAGAGCAAAATCAATTAGACAAATAAAATCCTATCACTAATCCATCTGTATTATTGAAGTAGTGCCTCCATAGCGACCTTAGTTTCTCTTGTCCGCGGACATCCCAAACTGTGAACATCACATTCTTATATTGAACTTTCTCCACATTAAAACCTGAAGGAGATATCGACAAGAACTCAGTACTCGTATCAACTTGTCTATCCACCTCGAGACAAAATGTTAATAACATCTAATTTAAAGCCAAAGTTTCAACCAAAGACTATATGAGGAATAAGAGAAAAGGGCCATAACACTAATCAATGATATATTGAAAAAGTAAATTTTGAGAAAGAGAAACCGGCTCCAACGAATATAGAAGAAAAATAAATTCATACCACACACAAAATTTAATCAATGATATATCCAATACCACTTTTCCATAAAGAACCTATGGGGACGAAGGCTAGAGAAGCACGATTTCTCTATCCCAAACAACAAACATACTGCTATACGAGGCAGGTGCCTTGGAATTTAACTCAATCAAGGTTTCATTTTGAAAAGGAAAATTTTTAGTACTATGCTTTTAGTCCTTCCTGAAGTGGCACCTTGCACGTCATTTTTAATGAACAAGGGCTGTAAACACGTCAAACGACATATGAAAAATGGGTAGTACCCAGTAAACAAGGCTCACACAATATGCAGGGTCCAGGAAGGTCCTAAAGTAAGCAGCCTTCCACTTGTTCTACGCAGAGATGGGTTTGTTGGGTTCAAACCCATAGGCCATAACCAAACAGATGGAAAGTTGACACTGCATCATCACGCCACGCATGACAAAATCAACAAAATAAAACATGATCCGAGCATTTTCTGAAAGTATCATCACAAAAGTACTTTTAAAAAGAAAATCAAATTATGGGCTAAGTTGCCTACCAATAGTGGGGACAGTTGATAAAACTTCTCCAATGTGCAACTTGTACAATATAGTTGTTTTTCCAGCTGCATCAAGGCCAAGCATCACAACCTAAGCCAGCTCCACAAAAGTTGCGATAAGAAAGGAGAACATAAAGTTGAAAAAAAAGTTAAAAAGAAGTCGACAAAACCAATATCTAATTGTAAGAGTAATCATGAAGTAGAATAGCCTTCAATAAGAGGCTGGGATAAAGAATAATGATGCCCGGATGTGGTACAAAAAAAAGTAAAGACAATGAAAATATGCTACTAACTAAATCCAGAAAGTTGAAAACAATATACTGATATCTTAAATGACTGGCTTGGACTATAGTTTCTAGGCTGAACTCGTTCAAAACATTATATCTCATGTTAAAAAAAATGTAAGTGATACACATTTAAACTGACCGGAATTACAATTTATCTATTTATACCTTAGCACCTAAATTCAACAAACAAGTAAATTATGTCTCTTTCTTACATCAATCATTCTCAGGTTCATAATTCCAAGAACTATTTACTATTTCTAGATTTTCCAACATAGTCTAGTGACAGAGCGGAAATATTAGGTGAGAATTATATTATTATATGCCCTGTGGTAATCACATACATTTCAACCACATAATAAGCATAAAACAACAGTACTGGGAATGCATCAAAACCTAAATGACGTCAAAGTGCATTTAGCATAACTGATAACTTCATGTTTCATCGTTACAGATGAACAAGATAAGTAGATAACTAATTCACATTGGCTAGAATATCTGGTTTAATTGGATTGTTATCAGCTTCCATGGCAAGGAAATCTTTGATACACTGGTTATAATGACAAGAAGACCTTAGCCAAAAGAATTGACCGATTTAAAGAAACATAACCCGTAATTTAATGCATAGGAGGACTCAAAAATGGAAAAGGTCTACCAATCTTAAACGTTCTAGTTCTGCATTATTGATTATACATCCTATTATAATAGAACTCGAAAACAAGAGCTAGTATCTAAGTTTTGCACATTGGTAAACCGACATTTAGTGAGCCTTACCAAGAGTGAAAAATAACAAAGGCAAACTATATAAGTTCTCAATATGATGATTACAGAACCATCCAATTGTTGTATTTTTCATTTATCTCATTAATGTAAGAACAAGCTATATCAAATACTGAAGTTACAAATGATCTATGCAACAAAAAATCTGAATACTACATCAGAGATTGGCACAAATCTTCAAACACAATGTAATGGAAGGCAACGAAAACATTTAGCTAAAAGTCATAAATCTAAATTTCACTAACCAAATTAGAGAAAAAATTACCAAGTTTCTAGCTTGGAGATAAGATCTTCAGCAATTCAACTCTACATTAATTACAAACCAAATATATCGGGTAAAAAGAACCCCTAACGATGAAGATAATTCAGTTAAAAAAAGTAAAAACAATAAGTAAATGGTCAATTATCAGCAAATAAAAAAGAGAGATTGAAAAAAAATTCCCTCATCTCCGAGTTACCAAAGAAGCTATCGAAGAGCTTGCGAAAAGCTTGACCCATCCTTTCAAAAGCTTGAAAAGGACCCTCTTTTTGTTTTGGGGTTTTCTGCTTTCTTCTCTCTCTCTCAAAGAAACCATGAATTCTGGGTTATGAGAGACAGAAGAAAAAAAGAATTCTTTTGATTAAAAAAACTGGGTTTTCCCCCTTGCTGATGATAGAAATAAAAATTTGAGCTTTACAGGGCGAGAGAAAGGAAGGAAACCGTTGTTAGAGAGAAAATTACAGAGGAGAAGGTGGCGTTTGATGGCTAAAGAAAAGGAATAAGGAAATGATTATTTTGATTTTCTTTTCTTTTCTTTCCATTTTCCAAGCTGTTTCGTGGTAGAGGTGGAACCCAAGTGGTCCGAAATGGAAATATTTAATTGCTTATACCTTATTGTGTTAGATATTTTTAGAAAAATAGAAAATATATATATATAAATGGTAAATAATTCAAAATATTTATAAATTAAAATTTTAAAAATACAATTTTAATAAATATTTTTTATTGAAAATATTTTTTATTTTATTTTATGACAAGATATTTTTGATAATATCACGTGTATTTTTATTATGATACATGATATTTTTTTATTATGTCACATTGTCTTAAACTGCAAAAATTATGATAACGTCAAAAATTTATAATTTATATATTTAAATTAGGAAATAGTATAATTATGTGTCTAATCCATAAAAAAAGTTTACATATCTAATTAAAAATATAATTTAAAGCAGGGGCAAATGTAAAGGTTACCTGGGGTAGGTCTACGCTGAAATTTGAATTATTTTATGTTAATTATTTATTTTATTGATGATTTTCATCTTATATAAAAAATTATTATTAATATATATGTGTCCATCTTTTTTTTAATAAGAATGGAGATTTATTAAAATCAATAGTTGACGTACAACTTATGAGCCTCATTAAAAATCTCCCTAAACTAGTTGGAGGAAAATAGCACTAAATAAGAGAACAAAACACACAAAACAGACCAGAAACGAAAGCCATACCAACAAAGATCAACATCACCTAAATAAAGGCAATTCAAGAGCAACTATCACTACCGACCAAAATGAGCAAGAAACTGCAACCATCTAAACGTACAAAAACTAAAAAACAACATAACAGTTCCAACCGAACAGGCTTCCTCGACAACGTCTACGCATACAGAGTTACCAAAAACAAACAGAGACAACAAAAGTGTTTCCAAAAACTCCCAAGCGAACAACCAAAGAGAAGTCTTGATGAAGAAACCACTACCGAACTAGATACAAGAAGAAACCAACAATCCAGCACTAAGCTCTATTTAAAGGCACCAACCTTCAAGAGAATACATTCTGAACAAACCAACAATCACCAACCAATCGACCACTCCACTGTAAAAACCAACAAACCCAGCAATTACAGCACCAACATACCACATCTACCATGGACAATGAACACAAGGCAATATCCACTATCAACAACACCTACCCACCCATCATTTATGAAGGTTACAGCAGTACAACTCAAGACACTGAGGCACATCCTTTTGCATTTGTCTAAACTAGTACCGGAGATGGAATCATTGACAGGGTAAATTCCGTAAAGAAACATATCAGCATGCTCAACCAGAATCAACCCTGATTTGCAACCATACTGAGATGAAAACAAGCATTTTGTATTTGAGTGGACCATACGGGATAACGGGCATGTGCAAACAGGGAAACCAGATTTATTAAAACGCAGATGACTCGCAGGTCACAAGTTGCAAAGACATTACACTGAATCTCAAGGAAAAACCTATATAACCTCCTTATAAGAATAGCATAAAAATAACTCTAAGGTGCCATGAACCATCCCAATTCGATCTTTACTTAGCATAAACCAAAAAGCATTGCAATAAGAGAAAAGAAATGTACAATACCCCCAAAGGCACTCCAATCAGATCAAACTTTTGCCTCCACAAAATCACCTACAATTCTATATTACTCCCACAATACAATCTTACAATCCTAAAAATAAATTTGACTTGTCATCATGTTAATTAAGGAATATGAAGTGTTAGAATTATATTTAGAACATATTGAAATTTGAGTATGATTCTTGATTTACATATGAGGGATAGGATTTTAAGGTTATGGATGGTTTTCATGGATATAAATTAGTTTAAGTAATGGTGGTTAGGTTTAATGACATGGTAGGGGTTTAAAATAAAAGAATTAAATGAAGAATTGATGATTTTCGGGCTTAAAATACAATTTTTGGATAGAGGGAACCGATACCCTATGAATGGGTATCGATTCCCCCCTCTTGAACGAAAAATTCCAGTATGTTCAGGGGGTATCGATTCCCCCTTGGGGGGTATCGATTCCCCCTAAATGAAAAATGGAATTTGGTTCTTTAATTTGGTTTAAGTTATTAACATCAAGTTTAAGGTTTAGGCTTTTGATAGTTGTTTTGAATGTTAATTTATTAGATATTAATCTAACAAGTATACCCTATGAATGGGTATCGATTCCCCCCTCTTGAACGAAAAATTCCAGTATGTTCAGGGGGTATCGATTCCCCCTTGGGGGGTATCGATTCCCCCTAAATGAAAAATGGAATTTGGTTCTTTAATTTGGTTTAAGTTATTAACATCAAGTTTAAGGTTTAGGCTTTTGATAGTTGTTTTGAAATGTTATATTTATGTAGATATTAAGTCTAAACAAGTTCCGGAATAATCAAGGGATTAGGATCAAAGCAAAGCAAATAAGGCTAAGGTGAGTGCAATTTTAATTGTACTTATATTATTGAACGAACATTGGCTTGCGATGAGCTAGTGATGGAGTTATTATGGTAAGAAGTGACTCCTAAAATGTTATTTGATTTGTGATTCTTATATGTGTATGAATACATGAAATGGGCATAGGTTATTATATATGTTATATGATATGCATAGACATAAGAGCATAAAACATAAGATATATGATATGATATACATGATTATATGCATATGTGATGTATGCTATGAGACATGACCAATGTGAAATGAGATAAGCTATGTGATATGATATGAAATACATGGTTACACATACATGTGGTATGTGACAGAAAAGAAAGAACAAGTGATGAGAAATGTATTCATCGTAAATGCCTATAGTATATAATACGAGAGCTATAGGTATAGTTGGCATACCAAGAGTTGAGGGTATTATAGTCCTTCGAGACATAGTGGTCCTACGGGACATATATAGCAGTCCTTCGAGACGAATACTGAACAAATATTTGGTGCCCATGAGGGAATTTATACGAGCTGTGGTGACATCATTAGTGCACAACCTCAATGTACTCACATACCTTTGTTCTCAACAACAATATATATGGGCAATTGAAATATAAACTAAAGTGAAAATGATGCAAAAAGGTAAGTTTCATGTGTGCATGACTTGGTTATATATGTCATATGAAATATATACATGCATATTGAAATATCATGATCAAATGGTAAGAATGCATATTCATGAATCTACTGCTACATGTTTATTTATTGCCTCACTAAGTCTATGACTTAGTGTGTAAGTGATTTACACGTAGGTACCAAGAAATGAGAAGAGCAAGAATAGAAGTAGCAAGGACATTATTATTACTAGAAGATCAGATCAGAAGTAATCGACAAAGTAGGTATTTTGTTGTGTATAGAGTGTTGGCATGTAATAAGTCGTTAATTATGAGCACTCTGATCGAGTTTGTATTTTGTGGTCTTTTTTATGTAAATTAAAGTATTTTGTTTTAAACAAAGTTTTAAATTCCTAGGGTTTTTCTTTAAGAGTCAAAGTTTAAAAAGTCAAAGTGACACATCGGACTCGTATTCGAGTCAGGTACGGTTGGGGTGTTACAGTTAATGGCATCAAAGCTAAGGTTTAGTCGATTTTCTGCATAAATCAGAGTCTAGAGTGTTTTATAAGGTATACATGCCAATAAAATAGTGAAAACTTCTGATCTGATGGAATAGTAAGTATACTGTTATACTAATAGAACTATATGATTGTATTTTTATAGATGTCCAGACTAGGTAGTTCTAGAAATGAAGCAGGAGATGATATACCCGCTGAAAGCAGTAATTCACCTGCCCTGGCCAGGCAGAGTGAAGAACAGACACCCTCTAGAGTGCATGTGAATGATCAAGATGTATTCTTTAGAACTTTAGACGTAGTATTGACACGTTTTCAACCTCCTGTTACTTTAACTCCAAAAATGAATGTTGCAAAAGAGTTGAAGGGTTTAGGAGCTCCAGAGTTTAAAGGGGAAGCCGATGAAGGTCCTGTTACTGCGGACCTTTGGCTTAATGACGTGAAAGTCATGCTTGAGGGACTTCATTGTTCCAATGCTGAAAAACTAGATGGAGTGATTTCCTTGTTGAGCGGACAAGAGAGGATCTGGTTGACCAATGTTATATTGAGGATGTCTAACAATCAAGTTACTTGGTCATTGTTTTTAGAAGAATTCAAACATAAGTACATCGGAGATCAATTTGTTCGACAAATGAAGCAAGAGTTCTTGAATCTGAGCAATGGAATCACACTGTATATGAGTACGAGTGTGAATTCAATAAGTTGAGCCGCTTTGCTGCCGAGCTTGTTCCTACTGAGAATGATGCTTGTGAGTGGTTCGTAGAGGGATTACGTCCTTGGTTGAAGGAAATATTGATTGTATTGAATTTATCTTCGTTTCAAGAAGTAGTCAACCGTGCTAAAGCTCTGGAAAGAGATCGAAACGAGAGATTTGAAAATTCAAGGACTCAAATAGTCAAGAGAACGGGTGCTTCTTCGAGTTCCGTACCGTCAAAAAAAGGCAGAGATGCTGGTTCTCGACCTCAAGCTAGATCAGAGTCAGTGGTATCCTCAGCTAGAGGATCAAATCCGATGAGAGACAGACAAACTCAATCAGTGGGATCTGAATCTGGAAGATTTAACCATAGCCAAGTCCGACAATGCCCACATTGTGGAAAAAATCATTCTGGGATATGTAGAATGATTTCTGGAGCTTGCTTTAGATGTGGGGACACCAGACATTTTGTTCGGGATTGTCCTAGGGTAGTCGATGAATCTGCACAGCCAGAGAGGTCTATTTCTACAGGCCAAAAGGGGAAGAGGTAGAGGCAGAGGAAGAAGTCAGTCAGAGTCCTCTGCTCAACAAGAGATACGTTCCACTGCTCGAGTGTATAATCTCAGGACCAATGAAGATTGGGATGATCCAGAGATTATAACAAGTACCTTTCTGCTG